TTCGGGGTCCCCGCCGGGGCGCGGGGCGGGCGGGGGAGGGGAGCTGGCGGGCCCGGGTTGGGGGCCGGGCTCACGGGGCGTCCTCTCCCCGCAGCTGCTGCCCCGCCGCACCGACTGGACCGGGAAGGAGCATCCCAGGACCTACCAGAATCTGGTGAGACATTCACGTCGCGGAGCAAAGAAACTTTTCCCCGAGTCGAATAAAAATTGAATTTCCCGCAATTTTTTACAGAGACAAAAACTTGGCCCCAGAACGTGAAAGCTCCAAAGGCCACGGGAAGGGTTGGGAGGCCGGCGCGGGGGCTTCGGGGGGCAGTGGTCGGGGGGACACGCACCCCGAGGCCGCAGGGGCTGCCAACAATTTATTTGTGATATTTTGTTAATGTACTAGAAATAAAGATACGTCATGAGTGTTGTGCAGTGCAAGGCCGGAGGAGGAGGGGCCGGCGCGCGCGTCCGTGCGGGCGCGGGGGCGCGCGCGAGGCGGCGGCGGCGGCGGCGGGAGCGGCGCGAGGAAGGAGGGCGCGCTTGCTCGCTCGCTTGCTCGCTTGCTCTGCACGCGCGGTCGGCTCGGCTTTCTCCTGCCCCACACAATAGCTGGTGACTAACTGCTCCGAAGTGGCATTAGCATTTCACAAGCAGGCTATTCAGCCGCAGCGGAACCGTAGCAAGGCGTTATTTTTTTTTTTTCTCTCTCTCGATTCTTTTGCTTTCCTTAAATTCAGAGCTAGGTTTTTTGTTTGAGGGGTTCGGATGTATGATGAGAGTCGGCCGGAGGCTCCTCTTGCTTTTTTCCAAAACACATTCGCAGAAGTGTAAAAGCCTGTAACCCCCCCGAAAGCCAGAAGTTTAACAGGCTTTTTCTAATTTTGCTGATTCTCGTGCTATTCCGCGACTTCAGTAAAAACTGTTATTGGAAGTCACTGAAGAGTTTTGATTTTTACGCTTAACATTTATTGTGGTATGGAACTTGGCAAGTAAAAGTTTTCCAGATTATATTGGGGTGTATTTTGTTTAATAGGTTGAAAAGTAGCTATTTTTTTAATTTTGTGGGGTTTCACAGTGAATATGTTAGTAATTTCTAAAAATGGTCTTATGAAAGTGGACCTGTGTGGCCGGACGAGTAACGTATTTGTGTTCGGTAGTTGTATTTTTTCATATTGTCTCTCCTAAACCGATTTAGGTTGTTTGTATGAATATGTGTGTCTGGAGCAGTAAAAGCAGTCACACGGCGGGGGTGGTGGGGGCGCTTAATCTGTGCAGTGCAACTGACTCGGAACTGATGTTTTGAGGTGGTTCTAACGAGTATAACGTTATTTCATGAGGGCTTCTGAAACGATTAGGAAGTTTCACCTAAGAATTGAATGTCTTCTGTGAGGTGAAAGCATGACAAGATTTTGGTGGCATTTGTTTCATTTGGATGTAGAACATCTAACTTTTGAATTTAAATCTCTTACGATTTAATATAGATTAAGCGTCCATTAGGTTTAGGAAATTTAATGGAGCCTTAACAGAATATATTTATTTCCACACTCTGTTTTCAAGTAGTGATCGAGGCTTTCATTCAATACTTTGCTACAGCGAATGGAGGGAGTTTGAAGCAAACTCTAAGACAGTGCCTGCAATATTTTAATTTGGAGTGGGGGGGGGTGTAAATATTTGACAAAATCCTAAGTGGGTTCCTTGACTTAATTGAAAAAATTATGGAGCTTATAGTATTGTGTTTTTAAGAATTGGGCAGATTTTACAAAACTCATTCTTGAATCTCATAAAAACCTCAGTCACTGAAGATTGCTGTTTTCTTGTAAAATTAAAATGTAATATTACTGCATTTTTAAAATGAAGCAGCTGATGGTATTTTGCTAAATTATGGGAATGTGTAATACTTGCATGAATATCATGTTTTCTCCAGTAAAAACAGGGGCACTAATGTTCATTTTTAGTTTCTTGAGAGGGTTTTTCATTTCATATATTAATAAAATGAATTTATATTCCTTGTCTCTTTAACAGATTTAGAATAGTAAGTGGTGTCTTCTTTAGTGTGTTATTTTTCAAAATCCACCTATTTTGCATGGAAGTGGGGTTTTTTGCCTGGAGTGTTTTCTCCTTTTACCAGAACAGTCATCTTGGCATACTTACGAGGCAGTTAAGAATTCTTGTTAAAATGTAAGAGTTCCTGGTTCATTTTCTCTTTTTGTTCATTCAGCATATTGTTCACTCCATATCTACTGGATACAAGACACCTTTTGAAGTGCTTTTATATCCATCAAACTATATAACTAGGTGTGTGGGTATTTGGTTTAACTTAATTTGGGTTTTTGAAATTCAGTTAGCTCTAAGACGTTTTGGAACACCATATGTCTAGGTGATCACATGCAAAATCTCTTGTATAATGTTCTCTATTGTCTTAATTTATTCTTATGACTTAAAAAACTTCATTGCCTTCAAGTTGAATTTACTTAACATTGGTTTTAAGTTAATTTGGTGAGTGAAACCAAAATAATAACTATTATTTGTGATATTACAGCTATTTAACATAGATCAGCATCTGTAGTCAGCCTACATGTAAATCACAGCGATTGAGTTTTGACCAAGAGGAAAGTGGAGTTTTAAGAGCACTTTTAAAGGATCATAGGTTTTAAAAAAAAAGGATGCATTTATTGCCAAGTGTGATTGATAAAGTTATTATAAAACATCATTGTATTACCATCTACCTTAAGATTTAAAACATTTTTAAGATTGAATGGAATTTGATACAAAGTGAAATGGTTTGTTTCTTATAGTATATGTTTAATCAGAGTTTGTATTTTTAAAAATAGGTTGGTCTTAAAGCAAAAGGGTATATTTTAAGCTTTCATCAGAATTGTTATTTTTTAAATGGAGCCAAGCATAGGTAACTTTTTATAGAACAGGAAAACTCAGATAATTTTTGGGCAAAGAGAAAGCTTTGTCATTTATTTCTTATTTTGAATAGTGAAATTAGTTGGTGTATTAAGTTTTGCTGTCTAGTTGTCACTTTAGTTAGTGGTGATTGCATACTTACAGGATCTTGAGGCAGAATCTTTAAACACTTTTTACCAAATTTGGGATTCTGATTACATTTCTTGCTTACATGGCTGTTTTGTTTTGTTTGTATACATATACATACACATACATATATATGTGTGTGTATGTATATGTATATACATAAAAACTGGGTTCTTGTTAAACCCAGTTAAAATGTTAAATGTTAAAAATGATGTAATTTTTATTTTATGTAGTGGTATTTACTTTTCCTAAAATCATTCCACTTACTAGAAATCTTTCTATTCAAATGAAAGGATTGGGAGTTAGATATGGATTGTGATTTTAGTCCTGTCAGCAGTTAGCCTGCAGGTTACCTCAAGCAGTTATGGAATTTCTCTGGATCCCAGTTAGCTCATTTGTAAAATAAGCGAATTGAAATTTTTGTAATCTGAAAATTGATTTTGAACAAGAAATAGCAATACATTATCTCTAAAAGCTCAACTCTTTCATTTTGTTGATGGTTATCCAAAACACAAAAAAGTAGATACGGAGAAAACCTGCAGATTAGAAAATTATATAAATGCTTTTTATAGTGCCATTCTTAGGTTGTAGTATATTTCTTCTTAGAGACAGGTGAATATTTTTGATACCCTACCCACATTGTAGACTGCCTCTTTACTCTGTAATTAGTATATTTTTCTCCATGGTTTAAGTACTAGTTTTCGTAAATTATTGCTAGTCTTAAATTCAGAGAAGAATAAGAACCATGAATAAGATATACTTAAGTATAGATCATACGTGTGCATGTATTTAGAGTATGCTGATTAATGTGAAAGTTAAGATTCAAAACCTAGGAGACAAGTTTTAGAAAAGAAACAAAAACATGTTTTTGAATGAGGTATTTCTGTTCTATATTGAAGATAATACGGAGCTTTTAAAACTTAACCAGTAAAATTTTGGGGGTGGGGGATGACGAGTAATGAAGTGAATGTGCAGAATAGAATTACATTTCGTTTTTTAATAGAGTATCAGTGAAATAGTAAGATTTGCTTGGTAGTCACTAAAACACAGCTTTTGTATCCTATAGTCCTTGGGGTGCCTGGGTGGTTCAATCAGCTGTGTCC